AGCTCATACCATACAACGGAAATATTTCGGATTTTTTGCATCGAATTTCGGGGTACCCTAGTCAGACGGGTCACTTTCGGGGATTCGGCGAAGCCCACATGATTTCTATCCCCTTCGTGGGACATTAATATCCCAACAAAAAATGGGAAATACAACATGTCCAACATACATATATATATATATATGTGTATACATCATAGCATCATATACCATATATATATATAGATATCCCTCTAGCTCTAGCTATATAGTTTTTCCCTACCATATATCCATAGATATCCCTATATATCATGGTTTGCCTGTGGCTTAAGAGACAGCAGGAAGCCTCACCTGTGATGCTTGCGGCCTTGGTTTGTGGCCCCAGGGGCTCGATCATGGTGTCGATGATGCTGTAGATATATGGAGGTGTCCATAAAGCGGGATACCCCAATAGCTGGATGGTAAGGGAAAATCCTCTTAAAATTGATGATTTAGGGGTACCCCTATTTCAGGAAACCTCCATATATCATGATATATAGGGATGGGACAAAACCCTGTACCCCTGTAGTTCACATCAAAATAGCTGGGATTTATGGATGTTCATCCCCTAACAAATTGCTCTAGAAGTATTGATCCATAGACATATCGAAGTACTTAAAAGGGGGGTTCAATGAAACTTACCGGCGGATAAATATTTAATAATTCATTGGATTTGTTTGAGAGCACACATGTGCATAGGAACATGGGGAGGTAGTGCTGAACTGCCAACGGTGCAGCTACAGAGGCTCAAATAGCCCAAAGCAAGGTCCAGATAGGTCACGTCAGCCATGGCTGCATTGGCATTGTCCCTCATGGAGAGGGTGGCAGACGCGCAGCTGGCGCGCAATACCATCTTTCCGGACAACGCCACCAGCCCCGTAGTGGGCCTATTGCTGATGGCAGCCACTTCAGCGCTGGACCACTGGACGCTATGCGGCAACAACCCAGTTCGGCACCTGAGCCTGACTCTTGTCCAGATGATGGCCATCATTGGCCCCTTAGCCTGTGAGTCGACAGCGGCCATGGCAGAAGGGGACTTTGTATGGACAGAGGGTCCGGACCATCCCACTGGAGAAGAGGTAGCCCGAGAGATGACCGCGCTCAGGGCTGAACTGGAACTTGCCACGGATCACATGATTCGTTGACGCCTCGCCAAAGACGCCGAATCAGGGACCCGGGCAGACCGGCTCCTCTACTCTGCGGTGCTGGCCATAGAGGAACTTCGCTATTATGACATCTTCCCGTCCCTCAACCTGATCCAGACGGCCCTGAAAAACTATCAGTGGCGCATGCAGACGGCGCTCCTGGAAAGAACCCAGGACAGGCTTCAGGAAGCCATGATGGCTGGCCAGCAGCCCCAGTGAATGCACAGGGTACACCTATGAGATTTCGAACACCATGACAGTCGGGCTAAGCCAGGGCCTCATCTCCTCTGTCTACTTCGAGACCGGACAGGGGACAGGCTATGCTCATTTTGATCATTGCGCGGGTTGAAAAAGGGACCGCAGAGTTCTGCAAGTGCCTGCAATCTGGGCTTCATCAGCCCTTCTCATCACTCATAGCATGTGACTTGGAGCCATTCTGTTTCTCCAACGTGAATGCATTCAGCGTTTCAGTTTTTTTCTTGCAGTGTGTAGGGTCGACGATGCACGGAGTGATTCTTGCTGTGTGTTTGTCACTTGCTTTGATTTCATTTGATTGCATGCATTTCTTTACACAGTTTCGGATTTCCACCACAGTCTGGCTGCTCTCAGATGTCCAATTTAGGAGAGTTGTGGGACTCCCTTCGCAGGGCTGGGCTTGAACAACTTGCCCCTGACCTGGTCCGCCATGGGATCGTCAGCCTCAACCAGCTGGTGTTGAGGTATGACGCACTGCATGAGGCAGGCATGCCCCATTGGCAATTGGAAGCCATCCTTGCCTCCTCGGGGACCCCGGCAGCAGGCCCGGGCGCTACCCCAGACACAACAAACCGGATTGATCTTCCGGTGCGTCGCATGGGCAAGAGAGCCTGCTTGCAGGCGGCGTTGGAAGCGGCCTTACCGAACCAGAGGCAACGGTCTTTGCAACTTCTGGACCAAGATGTGTTGGCGAAGTCAACCAACCCAGCAGTCGAAGCTCGAGTCCGAACCTACATGGCCATCTGCCGTGCTTGGGAGATAGCCGGATTCCCACTGGACGGCAACAATATCAGATGCTTTGGTGCATCGCTCAAAGCGGGTGGGTACCGCAGTGCGGCAGTGTACTTTCAGGCCATATGCGGCCACCAACAGAGAGTACTCAAGACACCAGTCCCAGCCATTGTCAAGCTGGGCATCAGAGATTGCATCAGATCCATCCAACGTGGGCTTGGCGAGAGCAAGCTCAAGGATGCCTTTAACGGGCTACTTTTAGGAGGCATACAGCCGACCTCAGATGAAGAGCCTTTTTCGTTTGACAATATCTCCCACTGCCGGGACATGGCCATGATCGGGTTGTGGTTCATGCTCCGTGAGTCTGAAATGGCAAGTGCACGGGCATGCGACCTCCGCTTAGATGGCAACGAAGTCTGTCTGAGCATTCCCATCCACAAGACGGATCAACGAGGACGGTACACAGAACGGTCCTTGACATGCTCCTGCACCGTGAAAATCCACGGGATGTGTGTTTGGCACAGTGCCGAACGTCACCTGGTCCGACTGGAAGCCCTCGTCAATGAAGGCTCACGGCAACACCTTCCACTGTTTCCAGATTCAGACGGACGCACAGCATCCAAGAACACCTTCATTGAAGCGGTTCGAAGAGTCATAGCAAGAACGGGAACTTCACTCACACGCCCAGGTCCAGAAGGACAAGAGACACAGAGATACCACGGCCACGTGCTCCGGATCTCAGGTGCACAGATGCTGTCGAGCTCTGGGGTCGAGCTTTCCTTGATCCAGTTGCTCGGGAGGTGGACCAGTACAGCCGTACTGCGCTACACCCAGGACAGCGCCTTGAATAGGGTGCCCCAGATACCCCAACAAGTGTTGCAAGACGATGCGGCTGGCACATGCAAACTACAACTACAAGTGGTTCAGGGAGCCGGCAAGGCATCATCGAGCCAGGCGGCGCCTCAACCGGCTGCACCCGCAGCCAGACCCAAGGCCCTGGCAGCAGCAGTCAGAGGCTTGAAAGCTGACCTCGAACAAGTGAAGCAGGCCGTGCAGGCGCCTGCACAAACCTATGTTTTCCGTCCAAGGGCCAGAATCCTTCACAAAGCCTCACATCATGAGGACAGCAACGAACCCGTCAGATGGCGGACACCGTGTGGCTGGAACTATGGCAGTCGCACATTTTTGAGAACGTCCAACGAGTTTGACGGAGCCAGACGTTGTAGGAAGTGTTTTAACTTGAGCGAAGACTCAAGCTCAGATAGCAGTGACGGGTCCTCAGGCCTCACTGATTTAGCCAGCTCCTCTGCAAGCAGCGCAGAGGCAGACTAGGCGGCTCCAGCAGGCGAGCTGACCACGTGCGGAGATGGAAAAACAAAGCGGCCACAACATTTTTCACATTTCTCACGTGCATTCCAACATTGACAGAGTGACCGAGACATCTTTGAAGTTTATTTGCGTTCATTTTCATTGTCATGCCTCTCATGCCGGATTGTTTCCCACGTTTGCTTCATTTGAAGGTGCGGTTGACAGTGCTTCGTGATTTTATTTTGCTGATTTGATGTATTTTTGTTTATCCCTCAGTCTGGCTGAGCACAACCGGTCCCAACGAGACTTCACGACCATGGTGCTCTCCCTTGCACCCACGTCGCTGGCAGACCTAGCAAGAGACGCGGCGGCTGGCGACATAGTCAACGAATACCTCGACGCCAGAGGAATCAAGACTCCGGCCACTTTGGCCCTTCTGAGTCGAGACGAAGACAACCTCGACCTCACCCTGATACAGCCTCTCCTACAGGGCTGGCCTAGACCAGATGGCACGACCATCACCGTGCGAGAACAGGACAAGCCCATTGCCAAGGCGGTATTGCTGCACATGTGGATGATGGCCAAGCAGGTATGGGAAGCGACACAACATGCAGCCATGCCGAAGGCCACACCGACCCAGAGCACGTCTTCCACGGCAGCCTCAACACCAGCCGAGGACAAGGTCCCCAAGGCACTGGCTCCAGGACGTTGGACAGCACTGGTGCAGGAATACCAGTCACAGCAGATCGGAGGCCAAGACAGAGTCTTCCCAGTCCAGGAGTTATACTGGGGACAGAAGCTGTCATCGCCCGGGTCCTACACGAGCATGAGACCAGCAAGAACTATACCCCAGTCTTGCTGGGGGAGCTGATCTCGACCAGGACCTTTCAGGCCAATGGTGAGCCGAACCCTCTCGCAAAGAGAGAGCGCAATGTGACCAAGCTCACATTGACAGGTGAGCAACTTGTGGCCACCCCTGAGGAACCGTGGCAACCTCGGAGCGTCCTTGCCATCCTGGACGGCTTGGCGAGCATTCGATGGTGCTTCATCCTATGCAAGCTGGGCACCGAGCAGGCGGTCCACGCCTTTTTCGATTGGCTGGTCAGGTTGGTCCGCAGCAGACCACAGAAGACGGACCAGCTTGCGCAGTTCTGGATGACGGTCTCCTGGAAGCTGGCCCTTGAGATGAGAGGAGGCCGCACGTTCATGGAGGCCACGGCGCTCATCATGAAGGACTATGATTCTTTCACTGAGTGCATGAGCCGTGAACCCAGCCAGACCACCAAGAAGCCCATGCCATCAGCCCCTGCCAAGGCCGAAACCAAGGGTTATGGCAAAGGTAGCACAAAGTCAGGGAAGAGCACGAGACCTTCTCCTTACAGCCGCCCTACAAAACAGGGGACATGGCACAAGGACGACGGCTATGACAGAGCCGCCCACCCATGGCAGGGATCGCAGAAGCAGGATGACAAGCCGAGGTGGCAGAAGGAGCCCTGGTCTTCCGATTGGAAGACGCCGTCCAAATAGGGACAACACGGGGTCATGAGACAGGTGGATCTCGTGACACCCGACAGCACTGGGTACCCGCCACCCAGCCAACCACCAACGGCCGAGCGAGGCCAAGTTTTCCAGAAGTTAGATGAGGAGGTCATCCTTGTCAGCTGTTTCGACGGCATTGGGTCGGCTGCTTTGATCCTCAAAGGGCTGGTAGCAGCCATTTCGCTGCACATTGTATGGGAGGTGGATAGCGATTGTATGGAAGTGCTGAAGGCCCGTCACCCAGAGGCGGTGACCCGGGGCGATTTTCTCAAAGATGACCCTGATGAGGTCGCCAGAGGGATACACCGCCATGACCCTGAGGGCACCAAGCTGGTGCTCTTCGCAGCTGCTCCCCCATGCCCTGACTTCTCACGCATTCGTGCAGATGCACCAGGCTCAGCAGGTGAAGAAGGCCACAAATTCACAGCATACTGTGAATTTATCAGGAAGGTGGAGATGGGCATACCTCACAGGAGGATAGGCCACCTTACCGAGAACGTGGTGATGGAAAAGGGAGAGGCTGACCATTTCTCCAGCCTCCTGGACTGCAATGCGATCTTGTCTGACGCGCAAGACTTCGGCCTCATCAACCGCCCTCGTTTGTGGTGGACAAGAGTGGACTGGAGCAGCATCCGGACAAATCCCATCACAGGAAAACGGTTACGGTGGTCCAAGAGCCAAAAATACCACCGTCTCCATCACGACACCACGTTCCAGGAGGAGACGGATCTCCAGCTGGAAGGCCTTCGACTTCACAATGCGGTGGCATCTCATGACAAGCGCATCCCGTGTCTGACAACTCCAGCACCATCGGCCGATGGCAGACCAGCGCCGAAGAAGCTGAAAGGGAAGATAGACCCTGAACAGAAGGCGCGATGGATGAATGATGGGCGGCTATTTGCTCCATGGCAATACTCCAAGGAGGCTCTTCTCCATGCAGCCGATGGGAGCATGGTGGTCCCGCCCCCGGAAGCCAAAGAACAGCTGCACCAGCTGCCGAAATGGTATACGTCCGTCCCGGGGGTGTCGGAGAAAGCCAGACACAGAATGCTGGCAAACGGTTGGCACATTGGATCAGCACGGTTCATCATGATGCTGGTCCTCCAATCCATGTTGATGGTGACCGCTTCGTCACCAGTGCCACAGCCACGGCACACCGCGCTTCAGACCATGCTGACCTTCCTGCAGCCAACGACACCGCACCTGGGCCCAGGGACATGGCCCAGCGAAGCAACGTGCGTGGCCCAAGCCGGGTCGATGTGGGAGCATTGGCAGATGGCCGTGGCTTCCAGTCACCCAGTACAACGGCCCCCTCGGCTGGAGCCGGGGCTACAGCAATGTGTGGACCTCCGCGGCATCATTGGAGGCAGCCTCGCACGCATGAGGACAGAGATAGTGGACGAGATCGAACAGTGGGCCCTCGACAGCATGGATGCGACCGAGACCTGGTGGAAGTCACTTCCACCCCACGTGGCCCAGGTGTACTTCAACAAAGACCACAACCAAATCTCACAGATTCCACTTCTGTTGCGATTGCTCGACCTGGCCAAGATGCCAGGCCTTCCAGAGCTCACAGAAGACCTCCAGTCAGGGTTCCAGGTGACTGGCGAATTACATGCGGGAGCGGGCTGGCTCCCACAGGCTGACAGCAAGTATGAGTTCCCAACGTCGGCCGAGACCTTCATGAAGCACAACCAACACTATACCAGAGCCAAACTGCGCAGCAAACGCGTGGATCCAGAATGGTCATCCATGTTGGATGAACTGCGCTCTGAGCTGAAGAAGGGCAGAATGTCAGGACCCTACCGAGCTCCTGATTGGTGGCCGACTCAAACCACGACCATCGACGAGATGCCCTTGCTCCAGCTACCCATTCAGAACATCTGCGCCAGCTTTTGTTTTAGTGTGGTCCAAGCCGACAAGATCCGGCGGTGCGAAGATTTCCGTCGGTCAGGCCACAATGCAACAGTTGTGGCGTATGACGTGCCACACCACCATGACATCAGAACGTTCACTGATCTGGCATTGTCGGCCCCACAGGGAGGAGACACATCTCTGGTTTGGGCCCAGGACCTGGACGGAGCATACAGACAGTTTCCAGTACGTGACCCAGCAGATTGTTTCTGTGTCCTCATGACACCCAGAGGGCCAATACTCCTTCAACATCATGCGATGACCTTCGGCGCAGTGAGCTCAGTTTGGAACTTCAACAGGGCTGCAGACGGCATCATGTTTTTGAGCCGCCGTCTACTGGCGACGCCGCTGGGACACTACGTCGATGATTTCATTGGCGTTGAGCCTTCAGCCCTGGTACACAGCAGCTTCTCAGAGTTCACACGCCTTATGAGGGTACTTGGACTCCACATGAAAGAAAGAAAGGCTCTACCACCAGCAGCCCGACAGAAAGTTTTGGGCATCAATATGCACATCACAGAGGACGAGGTGATTTTGTCGCCACACCCCGAACGATGCGACAAGGCCAAGAAGGTCATCCAGAATGCATTGGAAACCAACAGACTGACAGATGAGGCAGCTCACCGCCTCGCAGGAAAGTTGGTGTTCCTGACCTCAACTCTGTTCGGCCAATTGGGTCGCGCATCACTCCAACCGCTCTACGCAAGAGCGCATGGACTTTCAGAGGGCGACCATGACGGCCAACTGAACGGACCACTCAGATCGGCACTACGATCGCTGATGAATCTTCTTCGAGAGATCCAACCCAGGGTGATCCCCAAGCAGATGGACCAAAGTTGCATCGTCCTCTATTCAGATGCGTACTTCGTGATTGATGGCACACACCACTCACCAGGATCCAAGACTATCCCGCAACTTTGGCACAAGACAAAGTGCCATACCTATGAGAACGGTTGGGGAGTGGTGATTCATTTCGAAGGCAACACTTGGTTTTCCTCCGGAAGCTTGCCTTCACGACTCATCAAGAAGTTTTGTACCAGGAAAGCCTACATCTACTTCCTCGAGATAGCTGCCCAACTCATGGGATTCTTGACCTGCCGTCAATTGCCCTCGAACCTAGTGATGTCCTTCATTGACAACACGGCAGGCTTCTTTGCCTTGAGAAAAGGCTATTGCCGAGACCCTGCCATCTGCAATGTCCTGGCATTGGTATGGAGGATCATCGCCCTCGACAGCTGGCACCTACATCTTGAATGGGTCCAGTCCAACCTGAACATCAGTGACAGCGTCTCTCGCTTCCAGTATGACGAGATGCAGAAAATCAACGCCAATTGGACGGAAATACCAGTGGAAGGCATCTATGACATTCTGGCACGCGTGGCAGTCGATTCGGACTATGCTCACGGGAAAGCACTCAACGACATGATCGCGATCCAACCTGCTCCACTCACTATGACTCACACTGGAGGAATGGGGAACTGGCGCCAGTGTGGGAGAGATCCAGCAGCAGCTCCAGCTGTCAAGCAGACAGGACCAGCTGTCACAGAGCACCCCAGGCCAAAAGAACCAGTGCGAGCAGCTTTCAAGTGAGCAGTTTGGAAACGCACGACACATGTTTGAGAGCACACATGTGCATAGGAACATGGGGAGGTAGTGCTGAACTGCCAACGGTGCAGCTACAGAGGCTCAAATAGCCCAAAGCACCCTCCCATCCCACACCTTTTTCTAGGAAGTTGGCCAACGAGCACAGCTTGTCTTTCGACGCTGGGCTGTTGGGAGAGATTGGCTCCAGCAGCAGCTCCAGCTGTCAAGCAGACAGGACCAGCTGTCACAGAGCACCCCAGGCCAAAAGAACCAGTGCGAGCAGCTTTCAAGTGAGCAGTTTGGAAACGCACGACACATGTTCATGATATATGATATATGATATATGATTCTATGATACATTGATACATTGATTAATGATGAATGACTCGTGACTCATGACTCGTTAATGACAATGAAATGTTTTATTTAGTTACATAAAGCATAGTCATAGTATAGATTATAATATATATATATGAATCAATCAATCATTAATCATGAATCATGAATGATTAATTTGATGTCACTGAGTCCTAGGTGAGGACCTTTTGGCCACCAGATCTGGTGCCAAACTACGTGGCCGGTTGGAGTTGGAGTTGGAGGAGAATGCAGCTGTGCCGGCTCAGCGTCAGCTTCCTCGACCGTGGGAGCTACAGAAGGAGGCCCTGTTCAATGTGCTCGCCATGCCAGGCCACGAGTTTGGGGCCGACCTTCCGGACACCTTCAGGGTGGATGCCAAAAGGCTACTGCGCAACATTGCTGCACACTTACAGCTCTAAGGGGGTTACAACTATATTTGATACTTATAACGACTTAGTTACCTAGTATTCATGGGGTAATAAACCAACAATTACAACTGGGGGGGGGCCCACTTTGTAGAAGCAAAAAATCTGGGAAAATTGGGAACATGTGGGATCCTGCAAAAAGATGGGTTCCACGTCGGAAAGTTCAGGTTCTAAGTGGGGGCATGTTTTTTTTTCCGCGATCTAACTGGATAATGTTGTTTTCTTTTTATGATAGAAATGATGATTTGAAGAACCACCATGGATTTATGTCTACATAATATGGATATATTTGTTGGGATATTGGATCGCACGGAGATGATGTGACAATTCAATCTCATATTGTATATCATGATAGTTGCTGAGTCTGAGTTTGTACATAGATGGTTAGTATAACAAACCATCATATAACCATCATAGTTATAGATATACAATGTTATACCTATAACCATCATTGTATCTCATAAATATATCATATACCCCATATAATATATAGATGTTAAATAACCATCATGATTATACAATTATATTTATACATAATCATCTAGTTAATACAATGTTATACATATAATCATCATATACATAGTTAATATAAACCATCATAGGCCATCCTTATATTGATATATTATAGATCATTGATGATCCTTATACTATAGACATTAATCGGTGATATGTATAATATATATATATATATACATACACACCATATAAGGATCATCTATAAACCATCATGATACCTATTAAGGATCATATATCATTGATACATTATATTGTTATATATACTAACTATGATCCCTAGAATATAACTACTATATACATAGTTATACATATAGTTAGTATATAATCATCATAATGTGATATGCCCTGGCCGTATCTTCCAGGTTCTGGGCACTCTGGCTCTGGCCAGCACCATTGCTGTGGCGCAAGCCGCGTCCGGCCCCCCGGGGGCCGAGCCGGGACCATTGCTGTGCGGCCGAGGTGTTTTTTTTTTTTTTTAACGGGGAACATGGTGATCTGGTTGGTGGTTTGGCACATTGATTTAGTATGGGATAATGATGGTTAATGATGGTGAATAATGTAAAATAATGGTTAATAATCACTGGTTGGTGGTGACTGGAACCATGGAATTTCATGACTTTCCATATATGGGGAATTTCATGATCCCAACTGACGAACTCCATGATTTTTCAGAGGTGTAGGTCAACCACCAACTAGTGATGAAACAGTGGATTTTCTAGCATTCCTATTTCTAACAGATCCGGTTTTGTCGCTGTTTTGGTGAACGTGATTAAAGACTGATATCATTCGCAAGCACAGGGAAACATGTTCCCTATTGCAAAGGTTAAAGGGGAAATATGTTAGGCTTTGGATATATGAGTGGATTTTTGACTTCCTTCAGACATTTTCCTCGGATTGGAACTTAAGTAGGGGATGAACAAACCACCAAGATAAACTGGGGATTCTAACAAATAGGTAAGTAACAAAAATTGTTCGTTTACCAGGAAAACGATGGAATTAGACTACCATAGTGATTTTTGTTTCAAACTGAGCTTATGATTCTCAATAATTTGGATTCAAACTAACCAAGTTGGGAGATTGAACAACTAGAATTGGGATGCACAACCAGCAAATTATCGATATCTTGGTTGGACATACGCAGCACAGGTTAGTAGCTCAATGTTTAGTCAAATATGTGTGATACCCTCATGAAAGCTAGTATAAAGCTAGTTCACAGAAGGAATCACAGACGCAACAACAAACTTGTACACTTATATACCCTTTATTACCTTTTATACAGAGGTCAGGTTTGATCTTTTTATTTTAGGCTCTGCAAGAACACAAACATGTCCAAGTTTCTCATGCACTCCCAGGTCATGGATGGATAGGGTACCCAGCAAAAGCATCATGGATGGTTTGGTTTCAGGAAGGTCATGGCCAGGTCATGGCCAGGTCATTTTCTTGATTTTAAACATACTTTATCCATCCAATTAAAATTGGAGTTCACCACTTTGACCCATACGATTTAGGAATTTGACGCTCCAATGTTGGTCACTTTGACCGACGCTTCAAAAAGATGCTTCCGATTTTTGTTGACCCATACAGGAAGGGGCCTCACAGTTATAACTTATATAAGTGGTTTTGTAACCCCATCGAACTCGTTCGGCATATCTACCATCACCATCTACCTAGTAATCCCCAATATCAGATAGGGAAACAACAAATTTATCACTATTTTGATGGGCTTTTTGTTTAAATCTTTTTGGGGGTTACTATAACGTCTATGTCACCTACATTTCAATCAACAAATCGCAAGTCGGTTTCCCCGGGCCTGGCCCGCCTGAGGAGTGAGGTTGGGCTTCAGCGGTGGATGGCCTGGCTGCTCAGGGGTAATCCTTGGGACCCGCAAATGGCGTTTTTTTGATAGGGAAAATGGATGAAAATTGTGACTAACCAATGGATACACATGGATACCTGGTTGGTGGTTTCAAACATGGCTTTTATTTTCCATTTCATATATATGGGATGTCATCCTTCCCATTGACGAACTCCTATTTTTAAAGATGGTTGAAACCACCAACCAGTAATGGTATAGCAAACCATGGTTTAGTAATTAATGGAATATTAATGGTATATGAATGGGATATTAAGGAGATATGATATATAGTATATTATATAGTTAATTACTAACCATGGTATAGTCATGGGAATATGAATATCATGTGCGTAAAACAATGTCATAAACCACCCATGACTGGGAATGTTAAACATACCACCTATTAAAATGGTGATGACTGCGAAACGGTTTATTATTGTTTCACCCACATTAACTAGTTGGTTAGAATGAAATACAGTAATTCTATATTTGTTGGGGCTATGACTCAATGACTGTAGGAAATAGATGGGAACTGATTTTTATGAATTTGAGAATCGGTGATGATTTAAGTTTTGATAGTCAAAGTGGGGATTAACAACCAACATAACTAGGGCCTAGGGTTGGGGTTGAAATAACACGGCTTCACTGCGACCTCACTATGATGGCAACTTTCTGAGTGGATTATCCAAAATGGCAACACATATGATACCCTCTGGTTATCTAACATAGCCATGAAACATGGCCCATTTATAGATGGTTTACCTATTAAAAAATATGATTTTCCATGGCTATGTTAAATAGCCAGATTGTATGTCAGCTGGATATCACAACATGATGATTTTTGCCAGAGAGCTAACATTACAATAACATTACCAGATATGTCAGATTGGTGAACTAGATCACAGTGACAGCTTGTCATCCGGACTGAACATAGGGTACCAAAAAAAACAGCCCACCATTCCCATGCAACTTGGTAACTCACCACAAGACTCCTTCACTGGACTAAGCTGACTAAGCCTACGACTATCCCTACTCATCCCTATTTGTTTTGTTGTGGTGAAGTAACCTTACAATTCCCTCCGGTGAAAAACCAAGTCTTCCTAATTTCATTTCTGGATCTATCGCATGCACCTGGTTTTCTTATTGAGCCTTGTTTTTTTGAGTCAGAATTTCCATGAATTTCCTCTGTAATAGCACCCCCAAAAGATGCCAATTTCAGTGTTCCCAGGATGTGAACTTAGGCCTCACTGTCGGAGAAGCACGTGGTGCCTCCACCGGAAGTGCCCAACAATGCCGGGGCACCTGGGACGGTTGGGCTGGCACCGAAGGGACGTGAAAATGGGAAGCTTTGACATGGGAAAAGCGTGATTTCACGGGGCAAAAATGGTGAGTTGAGGCAAAATGGTGGTTTAAACGATGGAAAATTATAATTTAGTGAGGGAACCCTTTAGGATATGATCATCAATATCCGATTGGGTGTGTCTGAACATGTATTAATATGGCTATTTTTCTATGGCTATACCCCCAGTAGTTTATGGCCCATGGCTATGGCATTTTATAGGGGAAAATGCTGATGAACCGGATGGGATTTGGATGGATTCTGGGGATACCCCGGGATCGGATGACTGGTGTTTTTAACCCCCAAATGGCGTTTTTTTCATAGGGAAAATGGATGAAAATTGTGACTAACCAATGGATACACATGGATACCTGGTTGGTGGTTTCAAACATGGCTGTATTATTTTCCATTTCATATATATGGGATGTCATCCTTCCCATTGACGAACTCATATTTTTCAATGTGTTTGAAACCACCAACCAGTAACCAGATACACTATTTTCAGACAAACCCATATCCAGCTGAAAAATGACAACTTACAGGGGAATCAACAAACCACCAAGCTTCCCACAGCCCACCATATGCAAAACGGAAGCTGTTCAGAACCAAGCTATTTGTCCTGGACTTCACTATTTTGGAGTCAGCAGAGGTTATAGTAATCCTCAAACGATGGAACAGTAAATCCCAGTAAAGTGGTGATTACATCATGTTTTTTGTTGGTTGGTTGCTGTATATCAAATGGATTACCCTCTGGTAAACTAACATAACTATGTAAAATCACCATTTTTCATGGGAAAATCCACTATAAATCACCATGTTCAATAGCTACGTTAAATTACCAGAGGGTAATGACCATCGTTATACTCCAAATTTGCCATGTGAATAGTATTCGAGTGATGATCAACCCTAAGATTTCAGCGGTGCTTCCTTTTTCAGACAAGTTCTGCCCCAGAAAAAAAACGTAGATGAGGAAAAAAACACATAACTATGGATTTTATAGTGATTTAATGGGATTTTATAGTGATTCAATTAGATATTAATGGGATATTAATGGGATATACCCTCTGGTAAACAAACAGTTTGCTATTGAAAACGGCCATAGAAATAGTGGATTTGCCGATTTGCCTATTGAAAATGGTGGATCTTCCCATAGTTTTCCCATGAAAAATGCTGGATCTCCATAGTTTTCCCAGCTATAACATGGTGATTTTCTATGGTTATGTGGCTGTTTACCAGAGGGTATAGATCTAGGGAAACCATGTTCTGAAACCGTAAATCTGGCTGAATGAAATAACGACCTTACGACCGTCGTTCGATGTGCCTGATTTGAGCTTAAGGTGAATTGTTATGTAATTCAGCCAGAGTCATCCCCAAAAATATAGAAACGTAAAATCCTCATTAAAGTAGATACACTTTTTTTTTTCGGGCAAGGGATTACTAGATGAGATTGAGTCAAAGTTAAAACCTGGGGTATCACAGATGTTAGTCTATTTTTAGTATTAACCTCTATTTTAAGCGTACCCATTTTTGATCTAGAACCATATATCTATAAGGTGGTGACCCCCTCAGTCAAAAGTTGGATTATAAGCATAGAAAGTATAGATATATCTACCATAAACCATGGTTATTGGAGTTATATACCAACTTAGCTAACTATGGGACACCACCTTATATATATATACCCTCTGGTAAACAGCCACATAACGAGCTGGAAAGATCCACCATATTTTTCGCTGGGTCAATCCACTATTTCGACTGGGCCATGGTTCGATCTGGTGGCGCTCGCCACCAAGGTTTGCACCATCCAATTTTGCCAGAGCTGAGGTGGGGGGGGTGGAGTCCATGCTGTGAACGTGAGGCTCTTGGAGGTCACCAACCAAGAAAACATGGCTAAACTATATCTGTTGTACATCTATATCTGTGGCCAAACTTAGATACCTGGCATTTGGTATCACATTGCTGTTTGAATATGTAATAGTAATAAGTATGTAATAACTATGTTTTAATTTTAGGGAAATGATGGTAAACCATGGGATTTTAGATGTACCACATTGTCAAATAGCGATGATATTGAAGATCTGACGGTTTAGGAGAAACTACTGAGGATGACGTGTCTCAATCTGGTGCCAGCTCTCAGTTATACCATGGAACAAAACATCAGATTTAGGGTTGAGGTGAGGCGGTTGAGGTGTCATTTTAGGACGGGGAAGCTTAGAGATCACTCATCAACCATGACCAACCACGCAACTTGTCCCTGAAATGTGGGCACGTGCCCTGCCAGGTACAAACGGGCTGTTTAATCAGTCTCTTGGCAATTGAGAGTCAAGCTGTTGGTTGGGGCTAGTTCTGAAGCTTTTTCGAAGCATGCGTTCATAACAAGGAGGGCAGCCCAAAATGCCCGGTAAGTTGGTTTATGACTAGGCTAATGGGAGATATGGTGAACATATCTACAGTTGGGTTTATAAAAGAGGGCAATATTGCTCAAGGTATTAGCAGTAAAATCGTCAAGTGGTCGATTATGGAGGTTGCCACCCCGCATTATGGAGGTTGCCAGCCGATACTTTGTTTTTGTTCTTACAAGAGGTTGTTCACGCTGCTGAAGTCATCCCCAAAGGTGGTTTGTTCCCATGGATCCTTACTTTTGATGAATTTCCAATTGATTATAGTAAAGGACCCATATATAACCCTCTTTGATGCTCAAATAATCTTAAATCCCAGCAACATACAAGTTTCCATCAAACGGTGTTCCGGAAAAACGGGTCTTAGACTTCTCACTCAGAAGGTTTTTTCAAAAGTCCATACTTTCCACTATCAAATGGCTTAAATACATGTCAAGTTGATGTTCAATCCCTATTTTTTATGGTTAAACGGTTAAGTGCTCCAACTACCAATGTTAAAGGTCTTTGGATCTCCCATTTGATGGTTAAATCCCTATCGATGTTGAAAAAACCCATGACAAACCCATCAACTGGCTCCATGATTCTGGGATTTTAAACATTATCAAATCAAATGGTTTTTAACTATCTCAATAGCGTTTTTTTTGCAACTATCAATCGGTTAAACCCGCTCACTTTCATTATCATCACATTTTTGGGATTAAACGTCGATCAATTGGTACCCTGCTAAAACTCCTCGGATCGATCCTCATCTCCCGCCGAGAATAGCCCAGCTGATCCACACTCGCGCCTCTGCGCCGCTGCGCGTGCAGCCGGCACCCTATCCTGCACCACCGCTGATGCAGCACCGCGATGGCAGTGGCGGGGGTTTGACAAGTTTGACCCTTGGGAAATGGTGATGAACTCAGGGATACCAGTGGTACGAGTACCAGGGAAAATTGGGATTGAACTAGAGAATTTGTGGTGGTTGCCAGCCATTGACTTGAGCCTTTCTATGTTTAAATATGTTTTTGATAATGATAATTTAGACATAACCATCAGCAGTTAAACTTTTAGCACGGGAGCTAGGAAGCAACCAGGGTTTTCAACCTCCGTAAATGGTCGGCTACTGGTAGATAAGTTGGGGATTTACCAGCAAACATGTGGATTTAATTTGGGAAACTGTGGAACTGTCAGAAAACTGGAGATTCATCCCTAAATTTATGGCAAATTTCATAGGGAAGAGGAAGACGATAATTTATCGGCGGGTTTGGGATATGTCACTTTGTCTTAGCAACAAAAGTGTGTATTTTTGACTGGGGTTTAACAACTAATCTCTTCCTCCTACTACTAAAACTCTCCCAAATAAGAAAAAAGGATTGGTGTGGCACTTCCGGATTCCGTTTTTTTTTTTGGTTGGGCACAATTGGATTCTTAATTGTGGTCGTGGTAATTGAGAATTAATAGGAGAACAGGATGGTGAAACAATGGGTTCAACCCCAATAAACATAGATTGCCACCTGGAGGTTTTGGATTGGGGCCCCATCTCACAAGTTTTTTCTTTAAATATCTATTATATAAGGTTTTCATTGGAATATCAGGAGAAAAGTTCGAAATCCATTTTTTGGCAATATTTTTTATAGATTTTGAAATGGGATTTAAATGAATATAATCAAATTTGAAATCGAGTTTGTTTGTTTTTATTATTAAGGTTTTCATTGGAATATTAGGGGAACGCTTCGAAATCCAGTTTATAGCAATATGTTATATATTATAGATTTTAAAAAGGGATTTAATCAAATTTGAAATCGATAGTTTTATTTTTATTATTAAGGTTTTCATTGGAATATTAGGGGGAAGCTTCGAATTCTATTTTTTGGAAATATTTTTATAGATTTTGAAATGGGATTTAAATGAATATAATCAAATTTGAAATCGAGTTTGTTTGTTTTTATTATTAAGGTTTTCATTGGAATATTAGGGGAACGCTTCGAAATCCAGTTTATAGCAATATGTTATATATTATAGATTTTAAAAAGGGATTTAATCAAATTTGAAATCGATAGTTTTATTTTTATTATTAAGGTTTTCATTGGAATATTAGGGGAAAGCTTCGAATTCTATTTTTTGGCAATATTTTTATAGATTTTGAAAAGGGATTTAAATGAATATAATCAAATTTGAAATCGAGTTTGTTTGTTTTTATTATTAAGGTTTTCATTGGAATATTAGGGGAACTCTCCAAAATCCAGTTTATGGCAATATGTTATATAGATTTTTAAAAGGAATTTAATCAAATTTGAAATCGAGTTGTTTTTTTTCGTTCTTAGGATTTTCATTGGAATATTAGGGGCACCCTAATACAAAATACCCCCTCATAATCAAAATAGCTCACCGTGTTTACCATTTGAGCAGAGTTTTTTTTTACAAGTAAAGATTTATATGAAAGTTGACCTGCACATGGTTGGATGTAAGCAGTTTGCTGGGGTGCGTAGGCTGGCGTAGGCATATGTTGCTTCATTTTGCGGCAGACGCTGCGTAGGCGACCGCGGATTCGACGAATTTTGCAGCCTGTGGGTCAAGATTGAAGGGTCTAATGAGTGTAGCTCGATGCGGCATGTGAAATTTCCGCTGTCCAAAAAACACAAGTAATTAGAAGATAGCAACTGTTTTGCTGAGAAACAAAAAAGCTAATGGAACTATTCCGTTCCCTTTTCTGCAGAGTCTCAAGCCTCGAAGTTTGCATGGCCAAAATCCGAAAATAAAGGAGCTCCCCCGCGTAGGCACCGCGTAGGCGAAAAGTAGGCGACGCGTAGGCGAAAACTCTCATGACCAGGGAAGCCCCCAAACATGCTCCTGCAACGTACAGTATAATATTATATGTTGTTTCCCTGCTGCCAAGAAGCGACGGCAGAACCAGCGTCTTACACCTGCGGAATCATTTTTTTTTTCTTTTACTTCTCCTTCTTCTTCTTCTTCTTCCTCCTCTTCGTTTGAGTCATCTGCGGACTGGAAAAAAAACGTGCGCTCAACGTGCTCGATGCATTTTTGGCGAAATAGGTAGTTGCCTAATGTCTTCTTACCATGTAACAACCAATGAATAAGCACATGGCCCTCTTCCTCCTCATTGTTTTTAATGCGATCATTGGATCATGAACAGCTTTGTAAAAGGGTGCGCAATCATACGAACATTTTGCTGAGACTGTGGGCGCGTAGGCATATTTAGCTAAAAATTGCATAAAACCTCACGCGCGTAGGCCTGCGTAGGCAACCTATCCCCACCCAAGCTTCCGCGTAGGCTGAAATTGTGCGCGCGTACGCGAAATGTAAGCCTCGCGTAGATACCTATAAAATGATAACACCCTACATCAGAAAAAAAACACAACTCATTTGGGGGGGTGGTGTTTTAGTAATGGGGAGAGAGGATTACAATCAAAAACATTATGGGCAATTCATAGCAACCGGTGTTTGATGTGGATCTAAGGTTCTATTCCAGCATTGTGTCTTGGGCAGCGCACAGTGGGTGTTGGTTGAGTTTCACGTCGAGACCTTGTTTCATGTGCTGATATCTACCTTGGCACATGGTATAGATTGAATTATCTTGCCAGAAGTTTGATAGAATTTTTGAGTACTTTGAAATGGGAAACCCCAAGCATGTTCCACAACTACTGTTGATTCTAATCCGAAAGATTCAGTTGAACATGTTGCTAATGTTTGAGTTTTATAGTTCATACAAAACTGGATATACCTTGCTGGGTGGCTTGATAGGAAATGCTGTTGTTTCTATAAATCTGTATTTCTGCCAGGCTAGTGTATCTTGGATTTCACACGTTTTCATTGACACTAGTACCATGAAATGGGTGTGTCTGAAAATAGTGTACCCCTACACCCAATGGTTAATGATCATTATCCCTACTAAATGGCTATAATTGGGGGTATACCCCATTTCCAGACATACCCAAATGTTGGTTGAAACCCTATGATTTTACGATTTTTACGGTATCCAAAGAATGGCCACGGACTTGGGATTCCAACCAACCATAAAGATTGGTTTTGTTAGCGAAAGTGTGGGATTTCATCGACAAGATCTGCAAACTGAATAGAAATCATCCTAATTTTTGTTTGTCAATGAGATCCCAGTGCGATTTCAAGAGCCATGGTCCTCTCCTCCGTCGCATAATGTTCAATTTGTATGCGTGCTGACGAAAATAATTTTGTTAGAAGTTAGAAAAAAATAGTTTTGGATAAATTATCGCGACCTCAATGTAACGTCACCGCTGAAATGGTGCTTTTTCTGTGTATACGTGTGGGCAACCATCATGAATCATTCCCAAACGGCCGAAGTGTTCAGAGTAGTGAACTATTACGATTTATCCGCATGATATTCTCATTGATGGTTGGGTTTATGTCCATCAAATTTTCCCATAAACCAATATAGATATTAGGGAAAAGTTGGGATTTTGCACCGTCCTGGCCCAGGTGAGTTACATGCAAATTCTTCTCATAGGCGGCGCGGCTCGTTGAGCGCCCCCGGTGAACTGATGGTGAACTGATGGGTCTTCGGGGGTCTCGGAAGGTCAACCACAAGGGTGGCCACGGTGAATGATTTTCTTCGTTTTTGCCGAAGTTCATGGATGCGTCTCTCATTACCCTCTGGTAAACTGTCACATAACTATGGAAAGATCCACCATGTTTAATGGGAAATTCCACTATTTCGACTGGGCCATTTTCAATAGCTATGTTAAATTACCAGAGGGTATATGTTAATATATTTTATGGCCCAAAATACCAGTTATAAGTACTTATAACATCTTATAACCACATTGATAGATTGTATAACCCCATTGAAAACCACCAGTAACTCATAAACCGCCATAACTGTAGAACATATTAGAACTTGATCCTGATCTGAGGGGAATCATGAAGTGTGGATTTGCCATGAAAATTATATAATCCAGTCAAAATGGGAGTTTTGGTAGCGGGTTTTCTAGGTACGTCCAAATCCTGGCTTTGTCAGTCCCAGAGTTGGGTTTAAGTTCGATTATGCGGTTCTATTTTCATCTAATAGTATACAAGACATTACAAGACAAGACAATCAATGGATTGGTTTTCAAGGGAAAATCTACATTGAAACCATAGATTTTCCCATTGAAACCATGGATTTTCCCATTCAGATCATGGGGCTTTCCGGTGAAAATTTCATTTCACCAATCCATTGAGATGGACAAAGCGCAGGCATCGTGCTCTCTGTAGATATCCTTCCAGAGGGTGTGCCTTGGAGAAACATTAACTGGTTGGTGGTTTGGAACATTTTGGAACTACACTTTGGCTGCATCCAAATCTTGATGCCTCCCTTTGCGCCATGGAAAGGTGGAAAGGAAAGATGGTGGTTTGGAACATGAATTTTACCCTCTGGTAATTTAACATAGCTATGGAAAATCACCATCTTTAATAGGTAAATCACCTATAAATGGGCCATGTTCAATAGCTATGTTAAATTACCAGAGGGTATTTTCCCCAATAGTTGGGATCATGATCCGATCTGACGAACTCATATTTTTCAGGGGGGTTGCATTGAAACCACCAACCAGCATAGGCTCGGTGATGAAAAAGGTACCTCTTCATCATGAAAATACTTGAAAAATGCCGTTTCCCCAACGAATTTGTTCGTTTCACGCACTGTAGTGTATTCTAGCCAAGCAGTCAAAAAAAAACAGCTGGTGTTTTTCATGATGTGTTTTTTTGCCGACTTGGAAGGGAACATCAGCAGGAAGCCCCGTGATTTTTTTCCACAGATGCGTCTACCATGTCTAGCTATCAATCCCAAGACCTGCAAAAGCTGCCCTGGGATTCGGCATTGATTGTTGGCGTGGTGTCAAAACACTTTAGCCATGGATTTTCCCATCTTTTTTTCCATGGCTAAATGATTTTCCCTGATGGATTGATTGTTAAACCCATGGATTTTTCCAATATATGTAGGGGGATGGGTTTAACAATTCAGGGACTTATAATGACTTATATCCCCATGATCGGATTCACCTTTTGGGACGATCCATGGGAGGTTTCCTGAAATAGGGCTACCTCCAAATCATCCATTTTGGATTGGGATTTGCAATTATAAACCATCCATTTGGGGATATCTCCATTTCTGGAACCCCCGATAATATATATATATAGTCTACATATTACATACTCTCTCTCTCTCTCTCTATATATATATATATATCAGTACATAACTTATTATATACAGGTGGAAGTTCCAGTTTGGCATCTCTCTTGCCACATTGAAAACAGGATTTGACCCTAAAACCACCACGCTGATCCCCTCAAATCGATTGAAACATCTGAGGTTTCCGTTCAACTTTTTTCCAAAATACTGAATCAGTTCCCAAACCCAGAGGATCGAATGTTGCACTTATATGGTGACATTTGCGGGAAACCTTGTTTTTTAGGTCCCGGCCTTGTATAATAGGTCCCGACCTAGAATTTTAAGTACATTTGCGGAAACCATATTTTTAACGGAAATTAATAGATACATGGGGCATGTTAAGAAACAACACCTGATTTGATTCCATCCATATTTGGACCAACAAGTTGTGCAAATCAACCACCAAATGTATTCTGGAACAACATCATGTGAACCATCAGTAGCTTGGCCATGCTACTTACAGGTTATTAAGTGGATTTAAGTGGCGTTAAAGCCACATATCACAAAAATCCTGGGCCCAATCCCCAGAAAGCCTCGCTCAAACCCAGCGCCTTTCGTTTTTGGCACGTGCTGGAGAAGATCACTGGTGCCATGGAGATTCTCGGCAGGAACTCTGGTGCATACTTGCTCATTAGTGGTGGCCACTAGGTGTTTAATAAGAGATCTATATGTTGTAAAAATATATTATATATATATATAAATATGAAATGTATATATATATATAATGCATGATATCTATATATAATATATATATAAATGTTTTTCTCATGGCGCCCAAGAACCCACTCGAAGAAGAAACCGGGTCATGATCCGGTATTCCATTAAGTCACCTTTGGCTACTCGTTCTGCAAGCTTCTTGCAGACGCCAACATTATCTTCGTCTTTAAAGGTATGACAGTAACGATAGTTGTACAACCGATTTCGCATATCTTCGTTCATGTGCCGAAAGGGGTGCACTTTGGGCAACAAACGCCATCGCGCCACACTCCGAAGTACTGACAGAATCGCCAACTGCCTGTAGAGGCGCAAAAATCGAAATCCAAAATTTGAGATCTCGTTCCCTTGTGCCTGACTCAACAAACGAGGAAATCGCGCTAAGCGGTCAAACCAGCATGTCATCGCACGTGTCGCCAAGTGTGCTAGCTGAATCTCTTGGTCCTGTGCCCCTGCTGCCACCAGCGCTGTAAGACAGCGATCCAGAAAGACCAGTAGCACTTGCCCGTTCCATGCTTTCACTGTGAGGTGGGGGTAACCATCTTGCATGTGCAGCATGCCAGACGATATGAATCCTTGTGAGTGCCTTAGATAGCAACAACAGAAGATATACTTACCATACCCTTTTCGGTGGATTGTATAAATTTCACAACCCAGCAAGTTTTGAGAAAACAATAGAACAATTTCCTAAGCAAGTCTAGAGTTCTCAATTTTGGTCACCCTAGCCCAAGCCCGGAATCTTGATGACAGCTCTCGCAAATGATTTTCCATGTTGCCTTGGCCGAAGAAACCTCAACGGTGGCGAAAAACAACATTTGTTTTGAATAAATTGCTTTACTTCGAGTGATCCCCACCATGACATATCATGGTGAAGATCACATAGATACCAGCCACTCCCTTTGCATTCTATCTGGCATATCTTCTGGCATTCTACCTGGCATATTTTCTGGCATATGTTCTGGCATATCTTCTGGCACTCTATCTGGTATATCTTCCGGCATCTCTTCTGACATTCTATCTTGCATTCTATCTGGCAAATCTTCTGGCGTTCTATCTGGCAAACATTCTGGCACTTTATCTGGCATATCTTCTGGCATTCTATCTGGCCGTTGAGGTCCAGCAGTGCCCACTGAGCTCTGACGGTCCCAGGTTGAGGTCCAGCGGTGCCCACGTTTGGAAGCCGACAGTTGAGGTCTAGCAGTGCCCACAACGCGCGGACGTTGGCGAAGAGTTGGCAAGGCGGAAGCGGACATGGAAGTGGATGCAGAGGTGGTGGAGGAGAAGCTGGAGGACGAGGAGGAGAGGGAGGAGGAAGAGGAGGAGGAGGAGGAGAACAACTGTGATAAAATCTAACAACCCTCACCTGGCAGGTGGGGAAAAACAAACCCCGTGGTAAACCCCAAAAAGAGAATCCTACCTGATTGTCACTTTACATCACGTAATTCCAGTTTGCAAATTAGATCTCTATTTGGGGATGGCTGGGTTAAGCTATAGATCTCAAAAGAAGTCTTTTTTTTGGTCAAGATTCCATGTTGGAACAAAAGAGATATAAGAGAGCCCGTCAAGTTCTGCAGTATGCCAAGATTGACTATATGCATTGAACAAAATCGAATTTGGGCTACCTGGAAGCCAGGTAATCCGCAAATAGGATGTGGCCACCTTGCAGGGTTGGGAAAGGGGTGAACCGGATATTGTTTTTTGTTACTCTTGCAGTGTCAAAATTGAATCTCAACACATGGCGTTTTCTTTTAACACTTTTCTTTGGCAACACCGGTCTTGAAACATGACGCCATGGCATTGACTGCAGATCTTCTAGGGAATTCCCGGTCGAGATTGGTCCACCTCAGATTGGTGAACTTGCTTTAGCCCTAGAAGTCATAAACCCTGGAAGTCATAGTGGAAAGGGGGGGCCTCAAGAAAAGTAAAACTGCATTGGTGGGTGTATATAGTTCATTCTGGTGGTTCCCAGCCATTTCAATCACTATCCTGCTATAGTTGGCATTGTCGTTGTGTATACAATATATATAGCATATCACAAAACAAGATGTAATTGAATTTGGTCATAGCATCCGCTGTTGTACATTTGGATGGGCTGGACATTTTGCAGCACACAGATGGCAAATTTCCCTGGCTCCCCAGTGGGTGGATAGAGCAAAGGCTTCTCTGCTCCACTTCCAATCTCCTCGCAACTCACATAGCCACGCCGGGCCACCTGAGGACTGTGGAAACTACAAGTGGGTTGATCCTTGCCAAAACATAATGTGGGCACTGGGAACTCAAGCGGTTTTCACCCATCCCCCTCAAAAAAAATATAACGTATCACTCTTGGAGGCCTGCAATTGGCTTGCCTTTCAGCTGGGCATATGTTTGTGGGAGCGGGTTCCCTTCAAAGTCCACATCAGGGTGCACTCCACTAGCCAGTGCCTGCGATTGCTGCTAGTGTGTGAACAACATATTATTAAGTTGGTTTCCCCATATATGGTCATTTTCCACCAAAAAAAATGGGGGTTTCCATAGATAACCGTACCTAAAACTGATGGCTTATAATATTAATATATGTAGATGATTTGATAATCCCATTTTAGGAAACCCCCATGTACTCATGAAGGCAAGGGACATTGAAGCTCCACATCAGGAGTTGGTAAACCCGTGTCAACGAGTAGTCTGGCACCATTCGAGAAACCCTCAAAAGAAACAGTGGGAACCGGGACAAGTCCAAACCTCACCAGGTCATTGAACAAACCCTCAGAAAAAAAATATCTATAGACATACGGCTTAGACACTACAATCTGAAAATGCTTTGCATATAATGGCAGAAAGAAACTTTTGGCTTCCTGGAGTAACATGTTGAAATTGATAACCACCAGCTTCTCTCCTGCTTTATTATAGCGACAGTCGTCTCCATAAAGACCAAGTGGGCAGGCGTTCACAGTAGCACCTGGGTGCCCTCGCTGCAACCAACCATATCTGGTGGTGTGTTGCCAAAACTCCCTGATTGCTGCATCATTGCGTTGAAATTTTCCACTTACCTCATCAGTGTTTAGAGCCGGTCCCCCAGGTAAAGGATACTATTGCTGTATAGCTGTGGTCTATGTGTGGGAAACAAGATATTATAATCGATTCAGCTTTGGGGGTGAATGTGGACGGACACAAGCTCAATGAAACTAGGAACAAAACCTCATAGGAAAATCAGGGTTCGTATGCTTCTTTCCCCCCTAGAGAAAAAAAACGGTGCTGTTTAAATCTTTAAGTCACCAAGACACATGCAGGTAATGAAACAATGCATGAGGAGGAATGATAGGTAGTTTTCCCATAACAACATCCTTTCTGTTGATATTGCTGCGCACTGGTATCTCCAAGAAAAGGGGCGCCGCTGGCAGCTGAAGTAAAACTGTAAGATCTCTTTCAATGTTTTGTGGCCATTTGCCCCAGTTGCCGAGGCTAGCTATTTTTCTTGTCAGATTGCTAAGACCGCCTTTGTTGGCCTAGCGGCAGGGATCAAGATATAATATATATATAATATATAATAATGTTATAAAAATTGTATGGGTCAAGTTACAACCATTCATGGGAATTGGCCACATCTTACTTAAGATATATGGGTCTATCGTGGTCTATCTGAAAATAGATATCCCATAGAATATATATATATATATTATAGATAACTTCTAGTTATTATTTACTATAGTTTTGGGGTGTGCTATTTTCAGTCACACCTTTTAAAAATAAAATGTTTTGATTTTAACCAATTGGAACTCCTGCCTCAGCCTCCTTCACAGAGGCATGAGCTGCTTTTTGAAGCTCCGCGCAAGAGGTGGCCTTGGTGGGCCGTGGAAGTTGGAAAGAATAAGAAGAATTGGGTCCTAAGTATTGGGTCCTGTGGGGGACACCGATCAAGATAACAAAAAAAACTTTTGTGAACAATTACTACCTAGTAGTCAAGTGCCCAATTATCCCAATGAACTACCCATAGCCAAGGGGCACCACGGCCAAGCGAAGAAATCAAGAAATCAGCAAAGCTGTGGTCACCTGCGAAGGGGCTGTGATGTGGCAACACCACCCACTACTTCTTGAAATGGCCCTACACCTCTCAGATATGCTTCATGTTGGTCCCCTTAGCGGCAATAATCGTTTGGGAAATAGATACAGTTTTGGTGTATACAGATAGTGGTCATGATTAAGAGATCTTAGGATAATTTGATTTTGATGGATCACCAGAGTGGTCGGGCATTTTTGTTCCATCCCGCTGTTAGTCCCATACCTGTGCCATACTAGATTGTGTTCGTCGAGAACAATATGTATACGTACTGATGTCATTCCCGTGACCGTGCTGACATACAAACACATTTCTCATCAAAAAATCAAACTATATCATATTGCATCAAGCAAAAATGCCTAGTGGTCTGGAGTATAGCATTTAGAAGGCACACAGGTTTACTGACATCAGTACCCTCCCACCTACGTATACAGTTGCACACCAAATGTATGCGGTACTCTTCACAAACGGGTCGCAACAGCACCCCCGAAACCAAACGATCTAAATTCGCCTATAGTGCACATGCATGAAGACTGATGCATGTTTCACTAGTCATGCTGGTGCTGCACGAGCTTAGGTTCATGAAACCAACGGCCAGGCCAAGTACTTTCAGCAGGTTGTGCAAACGCTATCCCATGGTCGAGGGGATATACACAAAAATGTCGCAAGCCATTGCACCAAGCGGTCAAAATCAAAACTTTGAAAAATCAGTGCACCACAAGGGCTGTCCCAACATTCAAAACGAAAGACACAAAATTCCCACTAGTCATGCATGCTTGCGACAGCAAACATCTAAGCAGATGCTTTTGCCTTTGCTTTCGCCTTCGGCGCCACACATGCTTTCTTGACTTGGCCACTTGACTTTCGGTAGTTTTCATTCGCAGATTCCAACTTTTCGGTGGGTTCCTTTAAGGACTGCCCCAAACTCAGCGCCAATTCCACAGCTGTCTTTGCATCACGGAGCTCCTTGCCCTCAGTCTCCATGCTGCTCACGTAAGCATCCCGAACAACTTTGGGCCTCAGGATGGGTGGATTCAGGGTAGAATGGAGATATCAAGGATGAGTCAAAAACATCATAACTATCACCCTAACACTAAAGGAAACCTGACATATACCAATTTGGATTAGATACACACTGGCGTTCGCCAGCTTGTAGTCCCACTGCGAAATTTCAAGGAGATTCGCATTTGCCTTTACCACAGCCTAAGTTGAGGCACAGATTATGTAAACAAACCTTGTTGGTACCAGACCAGTTCAAGATTGGATAAACAAACGCTACAGGCAACATATAGCAAACATTCACAACAAAAAACTTTTTTGTGATTTAACACTTGGGGGCTGCACGTGCCAACTGCTCATCAGTCTTGACCTTTGGTGCACTCGACTTAGGCTTGGGTTTTGGCTTGGCTTTTGGGACTGCTTGGCTATCTCCAGGAGGGATCGGGGTGCTCCCCATGCCATCATAGTCACCTTCAGCCTCACGTCTGGTCTCCACACCTTCTGCATGGATCTCTTCGTTCTTCTCATACGTTTCCACCCACGTTTTGTACAGCCGCATATCCTCAAAACCACAGGTGATGGATTTGGTGGCAACATATGGGTAATGTATGAGCACATGTTATGACACACAAACATGTATAATATATATATATATATACCTAGGAACCCAAATGAATGTTTTTTTTTGATCATACGGCCTCAACCATTTTTTTTGGTCATTACGGCTTACGGGTGTTTCCCAATTTGGGGGTTCAGCCATAATCACACACAATTGCTTCACTCCCCCTTTTTCTGTGCTTTGGACCATCAGCTTCAAGCGGGCCCGTCATCTCGGCGAAGCTTCTCTTCGTCGGCTGCTGAGTGTCAGGGTTCGGGCTGTTGACCCACGCTTTGTTTGCCATCACAAGATACCTTTGAAGTACTCTCAATCCAATTGCCCTGGGGGAAATGCGTCGGCTGACGCGACAGCATCTCCCCACAAAGTCCTGAAATGAGACATCCCCAGGGAACGGAAAATACAACAGTGATGACACATACTAGGATAGGACCACATAACGACCAACATATCAAAATTCAAATAAATTCAAACTAGACTCCTCATCAGCCTGCACTGACTCCGCTAGGATGTTCAGTGTCCATTTGTTTTGGGCTCCAGATACCAAACGACACCAGTGATGGTCCAACATGTGAAACTTAACATAGATCGGGAAGCGTGATTTTCGCTCAGTGAAGCACCTATAGGCAAGATTTGCATAGATACGTAACCACTTTCTTCCGTTGTTTCCAGCTGCAAGCGCTTCATTGGACGTCAGCCACAACCCAGACGAGTAACGAATTGAAAAAGTGTCGTTGGCCGCTTCGACAGCTTCAAGAATCATCAAAAAATACTCGTCCTCATTGAATTGATTAATCCTCCCTGTCAAGAACCATTCCACAAACCTGTGGTAGATATGCGTGTCAGCAAACTTTGACCAACCTCCTTCAGGTAAGACCTGGAAGCTTGTAAGGCCAATTCTCTCCGCAACAAATGGACCTGAATGAGGAAGGTTGCAACCCGGCCGTTTGGCCCACTGACGTAGGAGAACATCCAACTGGGAAATTTTGTCTTCCCTTGACCCCGGCAAAAGAAGCAAACATTCAGCCAGCACTGAAGAGCTATGAAAGTTTTACCTGCTCCTCCATGGTAGTTGTGCCAAACATCAGTCTTGAGATAGTCATGGGGACGATCGATACAATGAAACAATTGCAGCACTGAAGGTCGTGTAACCCAAGGATCAACTGTAGCAACCACAGACCATTGAGCATCTATGTTGAAATCTTCAAAAGGCCCCCCTGGCTTTGTGCCAGCCAAACACATCCAACAAACCCCAGGAGGAGATTTGTTTTCCTCTGACCTGTGCGCCCTTTGCCAATGCCTCGTCAGGTCTCCAATGGTCCTCAAAAACGGAAGATCCCCTTTCACACCTAAGCAAGCGATGTTCCATCTTTCCCCTGCGTAGGTAAACCCAATGTCTTGAAGTTTGAGGAGGTCATTGATCATCTTGTTGAGTACAGCCTGGAAATTCTCCTGAGTAAGGATAGGGGGCTGAGTGGGATTAAAATTAATGTCACAGGAAAGGACAACCAAAGGCAATCTAAGAGGATAGAAAATGAATAATATCATAGTCCCAGAATCTGGTTTCGCCTTGTAATGTTTCTTTGGCATTGCAACAAACAGCATTCGACTGTTGAAAGAGCTCCCTTGAAGGTTGATACCCATCTTGAGTTGACGAAGAGATCTAATTGGATGTCTTTTGAGGGAAGGTTTGCTGCCACGACCAATGGCCCCTTGTAGGCTCAATATCATGACACCCGATCGTTTGAATCCACGACCTTCATCACCATGAATGTAAACTGGAATTGTTCGTGATAGCGACAGCTTGTTTTCAGCAGCAGCTCGAAAGACTCCATAATCTGGCCATTCAAGGCTGTAACGTCGCCAAAACTCTAACAACATTGGTTGCACTTGTTCCATGGGTTGTTCCCCAAACAACTTGGACAAGTTGTTGGATTGAACCAAGTAGTCAATGGTGTCAAGCATACTGAGCACAGGGTAGCTATCACCACCATCCAAGTCAACCCAGGAAACCGGAATCTTCAACGCCAGGTTGTGCTTCTCAAACCTTGGTTGTGGCAGGGTTCAAAGTTAAAAAGTGCAAGTTGAAATGCAACCCAAAGCATCCCTAAAAAGAATAATTGCCGTAATTTTTATATGGGATCATATGGAGTCAGCTTCAGCTACGTCACAGTTTATGGCATTCGTCTTCTGCTCTCTTAGTTGGCACACTTGCAAGACGGGAAGTGATTGGGCAACTTGTAGATCCATAATGATCGACTGCGGCCTTGCTCATCTCAGCTACAGACTTGGCGGTGGCCTGGGCGATCAAAATCCAATCGTTGGGGGTACAATAAGCTAGAGATCTGAAAAGGGTCATGTGAAAGAGATCATGCGAAAGAGGTCATGTGAAAAAGATCATGCGAAAGAGATCATGTGAAAGGATTCATGTGAAAGAGATCTGGTGAAGGAGATCATGTGAGAAAAAAAACTTTGAAGCAGGAGCTTTTGACCTTTTTCTTTGCCAGGGATCGCTAGCGTATGTCATGTAATTTTCAGCATCACGTAGGGCAATGGGAGCACCACGTGGGAACAATAGCGTGCACATTTAAGCAAATTTGCACAACAGCGCAAGCCATACTGCATGGCCTAGCCATAACGAATTGGCAATTGAAAAAAGCCCACTCAGCTGCCACAGCTCACATTTTGATCGGTTTCATCACGGTTCACTTCCAAGTTGATGAATTTCCAATTGCTAATGACCGTATCCAGAACCTGTAGTTGCTCCAAATCACGGAGTCTTTGCCTTGCTTCAAAGGCATGCTTTTCAAAAGGCCGTTTGGGTCCTACCACAAACCCCCAGGGCAAGTCTGGGTCGTGAACACCCAAAGCTTCAAATGAAGCCTTCAATGAGGCCAGAATTCTTTCCCTTTTCTCAACTACACGGGCTCGAGTATCCATGGGGAGCTGACGACTAAACTATTCTGATTTTTTGTTTGTCTTTTGGGCCAAATCTCCAGAATGGTGGCTTGTCCAAAGTATCCAAATATAATTCATAGTTTGATATAGCTTGTTTTTTTTTCACCCTTTCCCTCTTGGGTCCCCGGCACCATTTGCAATGCACGATGCTGCATGCTTTCCCATTGGTCCAACAACACCTGGCATGGCCAAGGTGCTGATGCGATGGCAATGGGATCTACAGAAACAGTGGGAAGGCCAGGGATGGGTCTTTCTGGGCATGCTGCACTGCATGGATAAGATTTGTTGCACTACCCGTGGACGATTTTTTTTTCATGGAATTCACGCTAGGCCCAGGTGAGCATGTTCAGGGTTGACTCCAATGCAACCACACGCTTGAAAGGGCTGTGAGATCGATCCAAAGCAAATCATTTCAGAATTGCAAAACCCCATTTCATGAAGTTTGCCTTTACTTGGCAGACTTGGCTTTCGCCTTGCTCTTTGCCTTCGACTTTGGCACCTTTGGTGCTGGCAACTCAGAATTGGTATCGTCGTTCTCAGACTTGCGCTTGGTCCGGGCAGATTTCAAAGCCGGCCTTAGGTATGACCATGTGGTGATATACCGTGATATGTGCATCAGACTTTATAAGATCGATTCTACTTCAAATATATATGATATAATATGAATGAATATACATATGCACATGTATGTTCACACTGTTCTCACCAGAATTTTCTGGGGCGAATGCTGGGCTTGGACTTCTGCACGTGTAGCCTTGCTTCCCCTGGGACGGCAAAAAACATAAACCCCATGGTTCCACCACCCATAGAAATCCAGTTGTTCAGAGTGGTTTTAAATCAAGGCACAAGACTTCTGCGTATTCCAATTGCTTGTCAATGTTCTGAGCCAACCTCAAAGTGCCGGGGCTGATGGAATGTCAGTAATGTTTTTGCTATATACCATTTTATAACAATAGATTCAACATGATTGTGCCAAAGAAACGTATCAGACGGTTTTGTCTTCACTGCACGGTAGCGAGCCAGGCTTGTAGCCAATGCATCATAGTGAGTGTCCATGGCTTCATAGGCAGTCTTGAGGATCGACTTCACACTTAGGGTATGGCTTTAAATGAGATGATGCAAAGGTCACTCATGAAAACAAATACTGTTGATTCAAATTTGATTGTGTGATCATTGAACGCCAATCCTACCAATACTAAAGTGGCCTGGGGTTCTCAACTTTTGACTCGATGTCTCGCAACTTGGCCGACTTTGCCAACAGAGCTTCCATGGACTTGGTCAACAGCACATGTGTTTCCTGCTCTGGGTCATCGATTGATAGACAAAAAAATGTAAATATACTTGCATGACAAGGGTTCCCCCTACGATAAACGGTCAGTCCTGCTTCTCCACATCCGCATTAGGTGGCCTGGGCTCACTTCCTGGAGGGTCAGCGGCAGCCTCTTCCTCAGCTCCTCGATCCATGGCCGCGGGGTCCTCCAGGGACAGGGTCCTGAACTCAACGGGCCTGGCAGAACCACAGATTTCCTCCTCCTCTTTGGTTTGGGTATATCGCTTTGTCAACTCCCCGGACTCATCCACTTCGCTGTAGTGCTGTTCGATCTTGGGATTATACTTCCATTTCCTGCCATGATTTTCCGGTAATCGGGCTATGATAACTTAAGATGCAATAAGTTGAAATCATATTGAAACATCCATAGCCTTCGAAGCTTTGGTCGGTCAGCACTGCGTCAATCTCGCACCTCAGGGGTGATTCAATGATGACATTCTTTTCAGGGCTACATCATAATAGATTTCACCCATTTGCAATCCAACTCATAAGTTTTAAATCTCAAGACCACATGAATCTTAGGCTAGCCACTTTGGCATTTTCAAGGTGTCTT